CACACACACTCATTCACACACAATTACACCACATACCCAGTCCATTGTCTCCTTAGCAAGTGCCAGACAAGAGCACTGAAGGGTAAGAAAGGCAAGGCTAGACTTGGGGGAGCTGGACAAGCATCTTAGAGTGTCCAGCGTGGGCTCAGGCTTTGCATTCCAACCTCGGATTCTCAGTTAGACAAATGGTTCCAAAATGTCCTCTGACCCAGCCAACGTGCTGGATGTAAGAAATGCCCTGATGCTACAAAGTTTATCCCTGATGCCTTAGTCCTGGGAAATTAGCAGTAAGATTCAGGTCTTCTCTCTCCCTCCCATGAGGACCACATAGGAGGTCTCAGCCTGTAGGAGGATGCAGCTGTGGCTCCTGAAGTAAGTTTGGAACACAGAAACAGCCACTGGAACCACAGGCACTGGGATCAGAGAGGTCTGGATTTGCATCGCAGCTCTGCCAGAGGATGGATCTTCTTTCTGCTTTCTCATATGAAAACTGAAATCAACCTCAAAGGGATGGAAGGTTTGTGAGTAATGGATGTAGATATCCTAATGCAGAGCCAGGCTTTCAGCAAGCTCCAACTATAGATGTTGCCAACGTCATCACTGCTATGTTCTTCCTGAGTTCCACTGTCACCGGAGCATTTCTGCATCAGACCATCTTGGGCTGTGACCTTCTTTGGACTGGTGCAAGCCAAAGGAGGGGTAGAGTTCATGAGGGCCACTAAGAGGTGAGACAGGTCCTTCAGGCCAATGGGAGCTCAGGTCTGAGAATCCTTCCACAGCTGTGTGAGAAAGGAAGGCAAGATGGAAATACTATGGGCATTGGAATCAGGTGAAGCTGCCCTCTAGTCCCAGCCTCCACACCTCACAGACAGCAAGGGCCTGACTTGCTTGTGATTTAGTCCTTCAAACTATAAAACTGTGTAATAGCAGCTCGAGAGAAAGAGTTTCACGTGGTAGAACAGCTTGGCTTCACTCCTGCCTCTCACCTACTAGGAATACAATTGTGTGAAAGTCACTTGGGCTATCTGAAGTTTAGCCTTATCATCTTTGAAGTGGAAACAATAAACAAGGTCTTTACCATTTTCTACAGTTTCAGAAGGATTAAATGAGATAGTGCATGTAACATGTTTTAAGTAGAAGCTACTGTAAATGCTCCAAACGGTTAGCCTTCATGATGCTGATGATCAGGATGGTGGTGATGATGGTGATGATGATGGTGATGATGGTGATGATGATGGTGATGATGATGATGATGATGGTGGTGGTGGTGATGATGGTGATGATGGTGGTGATGATGGTGATGGTGGTGATGATGACAATGACGATGACAATGGTGATGATGGTGGTGATGATGGTGATGATGGTGATGATGATGATGGTGATGATGAGATGATGATGATGGTGATGATGGTGGTGATGGTGTTGATGATGGTGATGATGGTAGTGATGGTGGTGATGGTGGTGATGATGGTGGTGATGGTGGTGATGATGGTGGTGATGGTGGTGATGATGGCGATGGCGATGGTGATGGTGATGATAATGATGGTGATGATGGTGGTGATGATGGTTGTGATGGTGATGATAATGATGGTGATGATGGTGATAATAATGATGGTGATGATGGTGGTGATGATGGTTGTGATGGTGGTGATGAGGGTGGTGATGGTGGTGATGATGGTGGTGATGGTGGTGATGAGGGTGATGATGGTGGTGATGATGGTGATGATGGTGGTGATGATGGTAGTGATGGTGGTGATGGTAGTGATGGTGGTGATGGTGGTGATGATGGTGGTGATGGTGGTGATGAGGGTGGTGATGGTGGTGATGATGGTGATGATGGTGGTGATGATGGCGATGATGATGGTGATGGTGATG